TTGAAATAATCAGTAGCGTAATTAAATAAAAATTATTAAAATAATGTATATTTGAAAAAATCTATGAATAAATTAAGTTACATGTGAAATACTAATTTTATAAGAATTTGATATTTTGATATCATAAATTATAAAATTTATAGCAAATTAAATCTTACACTGGAATAGAATTGCAAAGGTTGCAAAGATGTGAATATTTAAATGGATTTGCGTGTATAATTCTAATTTTATAAGAAATAAAATATTGAAATTTGAACTGCAACAATATTGTCAAATACCGATAATACTAAAGTGAATATTTTCTATTTGGGATCACATTTAGGCCACAAATAATTATTTTCCCCTGTTTTAACTTCCCCTATTAAGAGCGACTACGACGCGACAAAAATATACAGGAAAGTTTTCCCTCGTTCTTTAACACGTTAACCGCCACGATAATAATCAGAAAAATATTCAAATGGGCCAGGGTAACTTTATTAGATAATTTAGTTAAAAATGTATCAAAAAAAAAAAATCTTTTGCCAAAATTCAGGGAAACTAATGTGGAATTTTTTTCATGTCTCATTATATGACTGACACAGCCCCATAGTAACACATTTTTAATCTTACTACCATCATATCGCAGACTTGTATGGCCGTTATGGTTATGTAGAACTTCTTAGCGTCAGACACATATGACTGACAAGGCAATTAACGTGTTAAATATGATAAAAATATTTTAATGATGTAAAATAAAAAAAAAAGAAATATTATGAAGAAATTGAAGAGATATTTAAAAATATTTCAAATATAAAGCTTATTAATGTATAATAAAATAGACAAATGATATGTAAATATGAAAATTGTTTCATAATCTCTTATATCAGGCACCTTTGCCTGATTGAAATATAAAAATAATATATCTTTTAAATTAAAAAAATCAACTCTTAGAGTCTCTGGTGATAATAATCATTCTATAAAAATAATATACACACAGCACATAATAAAAAAAGGTATAAAACTTATATGTAATATTTCAATATTATTTTATATTATTAGGGAATCTGTATTCAATTGTAATTTGTATAATTTGTAAGTAACACTTCTACTATTATCATGTATGCTATTTAAATCATTATATTGTTCTTAGATTTACTAAATGTCGACTATTGTAAGAACAGTTGTATTTGATGAAAATAATATTAAATCAAATTACATAATCTAGAATCCTTCCCCCCTATTCCCATGTTTATAGCATTTGTGTCCAAATTTTTCCATCAATTCGAGTAACAATATTTGAAAACAAAAACGTGTATTGCAGCAATATAAAACATGAATATTTTATAAGAAGCAGCAGAGTGAACAACAACAGAACAGAGTCTATTACAAGGGGACGAAATAGTAGACAAACACAAGTCACCGAGCTTTTTACACCAAGGGAAAGGAAAGGTAATGTATTTATATATATATATATATATATATATATATATATATATACATAGTATATATATGTATGTATTACATACATACATACATATATAAGTAAGTAGACAGACGCATTGAGAATACAAGTCACGAAGATAATCAATACCGCGAACAAAGAATTACTGCAAGATGTGTATGTATATAACGCAGAATATGGAAACAGAAATATTTTTACTTAATTTTTCATATAAATATTGCACACCTTTTTTGTAAAATTTTAATTGTAAAAATGTAAAATAAACTAATAAACTTAAGGTAAATTGCTGGAACTTCCCGTTCCAAAATTTGAGATTAAAAAATTTTTTTTTTTGAAAATTTTGCAAAATCAGATTTCAATCGAATTTATAAGTGCACAAATAACATGCAGTGCAAAGCTTGAATTTTTTTTTAAAATTTTGAGATTTCTTAAATATTTTAAAAACCATTCAAGTCGGTTTTTGCAAACTGTCAAGGACATTTGATAAGTGAATTTGAAACTTTAAAAATCTTGATACAGAACCCAAAAAAGTGCAAATTAGTGCTAATTATTAAAATGATAATTAGAAATTTTTAAAAGCTTTAATTTTTTTTTAAATTTTGCAAAATCAGAATTCAATAGAATATAAAATTATAAGTGCACAGTGCACAAATAACATGCAGTGCAAAGCTTAAAACTTTTTTTAAAACTTGGAAGAAAATTTTTTTTTTGAAATTTTTGAAAAAAATCGGGTTTTTTGGAATTTTCGGTTATTTTAAAAACCATTCAAGTCGGTAGATGCATACTGTCAAAAATGTCAAGGACATTTGATTGGACTATTTTTGAGTGAAATTGAAACTTTAAAAATCTTGATATAGAACCCAGAAAGTGCCAATTAGTGCTAATTATTAAAATGTCTATAATATATATGATAATTTGATGTGCATATGTAAAATGATTATTTTTGACCGCCAAATAGCATTTTTTTAAACTTTTTTTTATTAGATCTCCGAAACTGCTGAATCTGCCATCCCAAAAATTTAATCAACTATTCATTCCGTTAGTACAAAAGAAATGTTTTATGAATCATTCTTTCTTATCGAATGCTCCGTTCTCTCAAAAAATGATTTTTCTTTTTTTGCACTTTTTACCCCGTCTCTTCGAAAAGGCTGGACCTGCCTTTGCCAAAAACTAATCAGCATGCCTAAACATCAAGAGGAATCGAATATTTTCTGAATCATTCAAATCGGTTCAACCGTACTCTCGAAATCATCGACAAAAATCCGTATCCGCACATACATACATATACACATATATCCTTTTTTGTATATGAAATTATAAAAAAGCAAGCAAGGAAATTTTTTGAAAAATGCAAACATAGTAATAACCCAACTATTACGGATATTGGATCTATAACTCAAGATATGTTTTGATATAACAATTACAACCTACCGTCAGTCATTCTTAATAATTAACACTAGAAAGACGGACGCAGTCATTTTGACTGTTTTCCATTTTCAAACATAAAAATAACTATGTATTTGAAGTCGCAGCTTCGTGAAATTTTTTGACTTTTTATACAACATATAAATGCGTAGATAAATCGTATTATTTGCTTTATCTCACTTTTATTTTCAATATTCTTACATGTTATGCCTGCATGGACGGAAAACAGTCATTTTGACTGTTATAGAAATTTTACATTACAAACGGCTTTGTTATTGTATTGCAAATCGTTACCTCGCGTGCATTCATCTCCAATATGCGATAATGCATTTGTTATATAAGAATAACCAAATTTTGGTAAGTATTGACATTAGACCGGTCTTTTTCACGTAGTAACTTTCAGTAAAACGCGTTGTTCAGATGATTTTTTAGAACTTATAAATAAAATGTCGAAGAGAAGTGAATTATTGCAAAAGCTAACAAACATAAGTGAAGAGTGTTCCGACATAGAATCAAATGCAGAAAATTGGGCACAATCATCAGAAGATGAATCGGATTATATTCCACGTGAATCATCTAATTCTGAGGGTAGCGATAAAGGTGATCACTATTGATGAAAATGAAAGTGCCATCAGTGTATGCAGGAGGGTGCTAAGTGGCTCAGGAACTGATGAAAGAATTCAAGAAACGGAAACAGCTGTCGATGGTACTGTATGGACCAAAATTGCCGAAGGTGGTACTCCAGGAAGGTCATCATCTGTGTTTTCAAGGGTGTGAAAGGGCCAACGAGCTTTGCAAAAAAGAATATTATTACAGGTGATCTTGTCAGTGCATTTTCATTGATAATAGATAATTATATTATCAAACACATAAAACAGTGCACAGAAGAAGAGGGCAGTCAAATTTTGGGGTACGATTGGACAACATCGTTACCGGAAATACGTGCATTTACTGGAATTTTATATGCTCGTGGGGCCTATGAGGCAAAAAATTTGAAATTGACTTATTTATGGTCAGCAAAGAAAACATGACAGATCAAAGGTAAAGAAAATATACCGTGAAATCCAGTTCACGTAGATGACCCCTGCAAATATTTTTCAATATTTTGGATTTGGCTGCGATAAATGCCTGGATTCTTTACAAAGAAGCGACAAGAATAAAAATCCAAAGAAAACAAATCCTTGGAGAACAGTTTTTGTTTGAATTGGCAGATCAGCTTTCTGCGGACTACACGACATCAACACAAAAAAATCAAAGAAAAATGATGACCCACAGACATCATGCAAATACCAGTAGTAATAAAAGAAAATTTTGCCAAATAAGACTTTGTAATAATAATAAAACTAATAATACGTGTCAAAGTTGCAACAAACATGTTTCCGGAAAATGTACTCATAATAAAAAGATCTCAAATTATATTTGCATGAATTGTAAAAATAATGAACTTTTTTTTTCAGATGTACTATTTTTTTATTTTTAGCACTCATAGATAATTTGTATAAATGTAAATAGTACATGAAATATTAAAAATTAATTTTAAACAAATTTCTAAACGCATTATTTATTTTTTTCACGACGCAGTCATTTTGACTGTTTTCAGGCAATGTAGGTATACTCAATTCGTCCGTCTTTCTAGTGTTAACACTATAAGCCACATCCAAAAATCAACAGTGCAATAGGTTTTTTTGTGATTTTTTTTCCTTTATTTATTCAATTTACTTAATTTATACAATCAATAATGTTTCAAATGTTATTTATCAATGAATTGTATTGGTATCAGATGATAGGTATACAAAATCTTATATACTTACTTTTTCTTTTATGTAATATAATATGAAACAAATAAATCTTTCCAAACAAACAAATAAAAATCCTTTTTTGTTTAACAATAAGATTATATAAGCCATGCCGAAATGTTCAGAAACCTTTGAAACGTAAAGATATGCAAATATTTTCATCTTCGATTTTTTGCGATTACTATAAAAAAAACTGTTTATGATAAAGAACTGATGAAAAACTGTCCCAAAAGTATACAAAATTTAAGTTGTCGTTTTTATTTTGTATGTCGTTCAATCACATTCACACAGTTCATTCATTCATTCATTGCAAAGTAATTAATTTTTTTATTTCTTACCTGAAATTCATCAGAAGTCCTAGGCGTGCCACCTCCATTTTTGCTCCTGCCTCTGCCTGATCCAGGACTCGCAGTCGATGTCAAAGGCTTTCCGGTGCTCTTGTACAATTTTCCCCTCTTTTCCACAAACTCTTTTTCCACAGCTTTCTCCAACGATACCTTAAGAACTAACTTTAAATCCAAATCTGGCGGATCAATAACCAACTTATACGATTGCCTAATGAACTTTTCAAGAGTCCTCAACGCAGATCCATCCCTCTCGCCCAGTTCCTTCACAGCCCTGGCCAAAACTTTGGAAAGATCCGTATTACGAGTGACTTTCAAGTCTCGAGACCTCAACCTGCCAGGATCTTTGTAAGAACTCTGTCCCTTATTGAATACTTTAAGAATTTTTCCTCGTCGGACTGCCATTTCTAATTGTTCGGCTATCACGTCTTCGTGGTAATCCTTGTGATGTTGTTTAATTGCGTGACAGATTCGTTCGACACTTGGTCTTTGTTTCTGTGATCGAATTTTACGTATCGCGTCCAATATCCAGGCGAGCCATTCTTCCGCGCTGGTTTCATCATCAGCTTGGGAATTACTGGAGTTGGCGTCGGGCATATCTCTCGGTTCTTACTATTTACACCGCGGTCAATCTAGGTTAAGTCAAAAACTTATAGAATTATTCGAGAGTATTTCTTTCAGAAGCTGATAAGGGATTTTTAGCTTTTATCGTGTTGTTACTTTGTTGTCATCGACGAATTTCATCGTCGGTTTGTTGTGTTGTATTGTTTTGGTGAAGGCGACCGCCGCTAGGCTCTCGGTCCGACACATGTCGCCGTAGCGACGCCTGGAAATATCAAGACCTAAATCATTAATAGATTTATTAAAATAATTTAATGTTTAAATACACATACACCTAAAGAATACAACATAATCAACTTGTTCGGACGTCTTTTCGTTTTATTATAGTGGCCATGAAGGTGACAAAACTTCAGGGCATTAAGCTTTACACGGAATGGTTGCTGGCCCTGGTAGCGGAGTGTTTTAATTGAACTAGTTGTTCACTTCTAAAAGTAAAGTCCGCTTAACAACATGTAAAAATCAATAAAAATAAATATATCTTCTTTCATTATAACTTAATAACAAATCAGTGATTGTAATTAGAACTGCAACAAATACATAATATACAAACAAATTATAACCCAACAACCTGAATTATCGAAGGAGAGTTTTAATAAATTCTATAACTACGTAACAAAATTACATAACTAGTTTAAAAACAAATTAGGGCAATTTCAATTAAATTGTTTCAATCCGACAAATAAATCTGAATATCGCTGTGGTTTCCAACCTGCGGAACGTGCCCCCACAGTTGCTTTCAAAATATTATTTTTAAAGATAAACCAAAAATATTGATATATTATATAAAAAAAAGAATGCACTTGTGGTGCTTGGCATCATGCCTTAAAGCAAATTGTTGGAACTTCCTGTACCGTAATTTAAAATTTTTGAAAGTTTTTATTTTGAGAATTTTGAATTTTTGGAACATTTTTGAAAATTTTAAAAACATTTGAGAAATTTGAACATTGAAAAAAATAGCCTTTTTTGTATATTATGAAATTTTAAAAAATACTAATATTTTTTGAAAGCTACAATTCTTTTTCAAAAAATATCAGATTCTCGACCGCCAAATAACGCTTTGAAACTTTTTTCTAAATCTCCGAAACAGTTTTGGCACTTTTTTTCCCGAAATGGGCGGACCTGCTTTTGCCAAAAACTAATCAGCTCGTTTCCCCATCAATACGAATCGAATGTTTTTTGAAAGTATACCAATTTTTTTTCTAAGGTAAACCAAAATGCTCGGAAACTTTCAGATATGCAAAAAAATTCATTTTCGATTTTTCAAAATATTTCGTTCCCTGGCGTTTCAAAATAATTATAAAAAATATTTGAGCAGTTTGTATAAATTCAATATGTATAGTTGACTATCTAAAATTGTTACAGGAAAATTAGCCAGATCAATAAATTATAATAATAGTGAAGTATTTAAAAAGAGTTTAATTCAAAAAAAAGGGGGCGCTGAAAAACATAGTTGGAAGTCACTGGTATATCGAAAAATTATATATATATATATTTTTTTTTTTTTTTTGAGAAATTTGTATAAATTCAATACAGTTTGCATAGTGTTAAATATTAGTGGTTGGTAGATATGGTTTTTCAGTGATTATTTTTACATGATTAAAAATTTATTTATATGAACTTATAATATTATTATTTGCTAGTATCTAATTATAAGATTATGTATTCATACTTTAGGATAATTAGGACACGATTATTATAATTGTAAGAAATTATGTATGTAAAAAATTATAAATAAAATGAACAAAATTAGAAACAAAAAAAAACTTAAGTTGACTATATAAAATTGTGAAAAGAAAATTAGCCTGATAAATAAATTAGAATATCAGTTGAGTATTCATAAAAGAATTTTATTAAAAAATTTGAGGTCGGAAAATATTTAAAAAACAAAACATGGTGCTGCGGTACTAAAGAGAAAATTTTTAGTAGTTTATAAAAAAAAAAAAGGGAGTTTACAAAAAAAAAAAATCATAAAAACTCAATACATATTTATTTCTATAGTGTTAAAACTAAAGTTGACTATATAAAATTGTGAAAAAAACAATTTCTCAAAATGTAAATTCTAAATAATATATTTTTCTGGTCTTTTTATTTAAAAAAAAAGACAAGACAGGAATATCATGATCAGAACATTTATTGAATAATATCATGAATAAAATTCAAAATGACGTTCAACAGCAACAAGGATAAATTTTCCCGCCTTTTTGAAACAGCTGTCATTATAAACAAAAAATTGCTGCATTTGAATTAATGACATATCTTTAACTAAAATTAGATAATTAAAAGTACTAATAATAGTAACATGGATACAATATAATAAATATTGAAAAAAATAACATAATATTAATGAAAATAAGTACTTTTTTCAATATTTCTGTAAAATGCTTAAATGTTTATTTACCTTCAAATTGACAGCTGCAAGATACCAAAATGATCAACGGATAAAATAAATTCATATAACAACCAAAACCAACAAAGCTGGAAATTTTGTAAGCGCAAACGCTCAAAAATATGTGTTCACTTCTCTCACAAATATTAACGCAAGACATTTGTCATTTTGCCGCGCACTTTCGCAATCCAAATAAATAAGATGAAACAAATGTAATTTTAAAATATGGAGTTGTATATTGTGATGCGGTTTCTGCGCGTTCGACTAAAAAGAGTACAACAGCGCGTCATGCATGAAACAAGGTTGACGTACGATCTGCAATCAAAAGCTTAAAGCTATGCCGCCGCCCGAGAAACCAACTATCCGACGGACATTGAAATACACGGTAAAGGACACAAAATTACACCAAAATTGTAAAAAAAAATAAAGGAGATTTGATGAATGGTAATTTTAGCACAATGTTTTTGTGTTAAATGTGTTGTATACGCCACACGCACGAAATCTATACAAGCCAGTTGTCTGTCACGAAACAATCAACTACCGTCGGTAGCCATTTTGAATATATAGAAACATTACATTTGATTTGTACATTTAGCGTCATTAATTTTAACTTACATGTGCGTTAACTATCCTCAGTATCCTTTTTATTAACTTCTTGTCAATTACAAATAACAAAATCCACATAAACACATATATGTAAGTTTTAGCGACGGTCACTGTTTTTTACCAATATATTAATTTTTATTCCTTTCACTCACTTATGTTAATATTAAAAATTCACTTTTGAGTTACAAACGTGCGTTAATAATTTCAATTCGATTAATGTACATAAATGAAACAATTAATAATAATATATATAGCACAACGCACAACATAGACATTAACAAAGGTAGACTGACAAAATGGTACAAGATGAAAAGGCGCGCGCAACTCTCCGTCTCTTTTCCCCTCGCGCCCCACTAATATACACGTATTTCCGTTTAGTCGTCCATTTTGACATGTTAGGTAATATAATATAATATTAATTGTACCGCTCGGCGGAGTTCATTTGATATACCGTGTTATGTTTTGATTTATGAGATTGCGCAATATAAACAAAATAGATAACATATCAACGAAACCATTAATTTAATTCAATTCGGAATTGAGTTTTAATAGACTTTGAAGGACGTCAGTAATGAGTTTATTAATTTAATTATAATGTTACCAATTTTTGTTTTGTAAATTAAAATTGGTATTTACTTTGTAGCTCTTCAAGAACAATGTGTGAAATAATAGAAATACTTTTAAAAATCATTCTGCTTTAATTTATAAAGTATTCAAGTCGTTCAGTCGACAATTCAGGTCTAACTGATTTTTATATTTTACTTTTTTATAATTTTCTTATACATATTTCTAGGTTATGATAGTTACTCCAGGGTCCTGTGATTCCATTACCTATGATTCTCTGTTAAATATTAAATAGAAATACATCATTCTCAACAATTAATATGAGCATTGAACTATTAATAACCAATTTAAATATAATTGCTTGTACATAAAATTACATCATACCTTTGGATTTTTGATTGAAGAGAAATTACTCAGTACCATTTAGTCAGTCATTTTACTATTATTTTTATGATAACAAATTTCATATACTTTTTCGTAGAACAAATTTCAATGTACTAGTATTGATCATATCCAATAACAAGCATAATGTAGATGAAGCCAAGATTGTTCATATTTTAATTTTTCTTGAACAGTTTTGAGCCAAATATGATATTTATTTGATGTTTTACTTCAATAGACCCTCGAAGAATTTTGCTCAAGATTTAGCAATGCATTAGATTTAACTTCTGTTTGAATTGTGTTGCTACAATCGACTTTTGCCTCTATTTCAGTTTTAAAAGTTTGTAATTCAGTTTTAACTAAACCTCATATCAACTCAAAATTTCTTAGTTACACCAATACTTTTAATTCCAGGAATTGTTACAACTAGCTTCATTCAATTACTTTCCATTTATATTATCTTTGAGCAAATTGAAACTTGAGGGCTTTTTGTATTTTTATCTTCTCTGATAATTTCTTCAGGAATAATAAACTTATTTGTGTCTAATCCAAAGTTTACTGATTTGATGTATTATCAATTTTTCCATTTTAAGCATTTTTTTCTTGGTTGTGTAGTTTTTTTTGTTTAAGCAATTCAATTTTTTTCTGTTTTCTAATTGTTTTATGATATTATTTGCTTCTTCATCTTTTAATTCTTGTTCTTTTCCTTAAGCCTGCTCCCCTGCTCTTTTTATTGCAATTTTTGCTCTATTTTATTTATAAAATTCTAGTGGCACCACCAGCTTCAATTTCATATTTTGTATTTCCAAGACCGATCTTAAATGATGAGTCTTGCAAGCACCTTATGCACTTAATATAGTACTTATAAATCCTCATACTCATAATCTTAATTTTCAACATTTCACTTTCATGCAATGAATTTTTTGCTTTTATAAATGTATTTGCGATAGGTAGTACATTTCACACAGAATTCAGTACCTTTTGGTTTATGTATGTTATCATAATGTGAAGTGTATAAAATATTGATCATATTTCTCAACTTCAGTAAATGTTTTGTAGATCCACCATGTGCAATCATAAATATATATAAAGTTTCTTCTTTAAAAAAAGATGTCTTCTATTACCTCTTTATAGATATCTAAATTTTGCTAGTATGCTAAGGCAATTATGTTATATAGAAAATAATAGATTCCACATTAAACATAATAAGCAATAATCTGATTTCACTCTAGTAAAAATTTATATGAAATTAAATACATGCAAATTTAGTTATTCAACAAAAATATATTTATAACAAATATTTCACTCCAAATTCACAGTAAATTATGTACATTTTTGGTATTATAGGATCAATAATGGACTAAATTTGAAATATCATGAATCTTTTAAAATAAAACATGTTTCAAAGCAATTGTTAATTATAGCATTATAAAAATACAAAATATTTATTTATTATTTAATGAATTAATAATTGCATTTATGGTATAAAGTGCATATTTCTAATTAAAATGCAATCTACATTTTTCTTATTGAACAATTTTGTACTTTTCTGATATGATTAGAAGTCACGTTATTTGTGTTAACATTTACCTCAAGGTTTAAATGCAGGCTTTCCTTCGAAAGTACATCCAGATCTTTGAATAACTTCAGAAGCACACCAGATTCCACATTTTATACAAACATCATAAGGTTGACACTGTACAAGTTGGGCTAGAAAACCTCCCGTGAAAGCATCACCAGCCCCATTAGTATCAATAATCTGTTTTGGATCAAGTTGTTGAACAGGATATTCTTTCACTTCGCCTTGACCATCAGCAAACAAGACAGGGTCCTTGCCTTGACTAATCACAACGACACGTGGACGCCTAATATTTTTCTTTGGTAGTTTACTTATTTTTTGAGCAATTTCTTTTAAGTTCTCTGTGCCAAGGTTTTGCTCCTTTGCAAATGTTAAGGCTTCCTAAAATTTAAAATGGAATCAGGACAACAATAACTGGAATAAATTTTTATATTTTCCTGTTGAACTTACAGTTTCATTTCCAAACAAAACATCAACATATGGCATTGCATTCATAAGTGGCTCTTTGAAAAATTGGCATAAAAATGGAGCACTGAGATTCATCACAAACATTTTATTTGTAGTCAAGCAGTGTTCTGCGAGTGTTTGTATTATCTCAGGGTTAACTGTCAGAAAGTAACCCTAAAAAATTTAATAAATATCATATTTGACTTAAAGCTGTCTGATAAAATATTAAAATACCGAAATATAAACAATTTTGGATTTTTCTATGACTTCCTTGTTTTCTGGTTTTTGAATATGATCAATAGTGGTACAATTAGCTGCTGCTAAATTAGCTACTAAAGACCTGTTGGCACCAGTAATTAAAACTGCGCAAGTTCCGGTTGGTTCTTTATCGGTAACTTGATAAAAAACATTTACACCATCTGACCTAACATAATAATAAATTTGATTACCACGTTTATATTAAAATAATAAATTCATGTAATATATGTATATACCTCGCCTTAGCTTCTAAAATTTTTGCATTTTCATCATTTCCCACACAACCAAAATATGATGCTACATTAGGTACTTGCAAAATCCACTGGGCAACTCGTACAGCATTTTGAGCACTACCTCCAGCAATAAACTCCGATTTATATTTGTCAACTAATTCTTTATATCTAAAAATAAAGCAAAAGGATATATATATAGTTTAAAACATAATTCATATAATATTTACAATGGCATATGCTTTTCTTCAGCTAATATGGCATCATCTGGTTTCAAACCATATTTAGTCAGTAACGCCTCATCAACAACAGCAGAAATATCTAAAAGAGGATTGCCTATTCCTAGAAGAGCTCCTTCACTGAAACATATATCATAAAACAATTATGAACCTGTATTGGATTCTTATCACTATAATCTATATTGAAAATATTTAAACATAGAAAGGTTATCAAAGGTCATGAAAGTCTTGTAATAAAACTTATAATTGTAAGAGTACTATAAATATCTATTTTCAATATGAATAAGTTATTCATCCTAAAATCCATATTTTAAATTTCAAATTAGTTGAAGATCAAAAGTACATAGATAAGGACACAAGTATGTTATTGGACAAACAGAGACATATGTATTAAAAATATTTTAAATATTAAGTTCGAATATTTTATGTAGACTGAAGAAAAATATTTATTTGGAAAAGAACTAGTACTTCATTATATTAGTGACAATTTTAGCAACAAGTTAATGAATATTATTTTAAAAATAAAAATTAATGATTATTAATGAATAATAATATATTATTACCTGACTTTAGACATCGTAAAATACAGAGATTCCAGATAACAATATTAAAATTATATACAAAAATAAACTACTTGTGTAAATAACCTAAAAAATCACATTTAATTTAAAAGCACAGTGTTGCTATCCGCTGACAATGTCAAGCAATGATATTAACAAATGTGTGAAGTTTGTTGACAGTTGAAGAATTTCAAAGGAAGCCAACATGACAAAAATTGCATATTGAACGTTACCGCTAGATTTAAATTTAAAAATTTGACATAAATATTACTCTTTTAATAATTTATTATTTATATAAAAATAGATGAATTTATTTTGAAAGTATTATATAGTTCATTTTAAATTTTATTTTGATTTAGATATTTTCCTTTCTTATATCATAATATACTATTTTGATATAAGAACATATTAACAAAATTTTATTTTATATCAATTAATTAATTAATTTGTTTTATAATATAAACACAATTATTGCTATATTATATTTGGTGAATACTAATCTTTAAATATTTATTTGAAATTACAATGCCTTAAAAAAAAAAACACAGCATTACAAAAGTATATTACAATAATGCAATAAAGGTGTATAATGATGAGATTATGTATCTGCGAATTTCGCCAAATTATGAAAACTTCTGTAAATAAATATTCAGAAAACCTGTTTTATGCATAAATAATCACATTGCATGAATAAATATATCAATTAAAATACCACGTGTGTTTTGAAAACAAGATCTGGTTAATCAAGTTTTTTTATGCAATTCAATCTGTTTGTCTTCGAAACTAACAGATGCAGAATTAAAACTAACATTTTAATAGGCAATATAAATGAAATCTTCTACTCTTCAAATTAATAATAAATATAATTACATAACGATATTATTTTTA